AGGAGGAGGAGGAGGAGGAGGAGGAGGAGGAAGAAGAGTAGGAAGACGAGGAGGAGAAGGAGGAGGAAGAAGAGGAGGAGGAGGAGGAGGAAGAAGAGTAGGAAGACGAGGAGGAGGAGGAGGAGGAAGAAGAGGTGGAAGAAGAGGAAGAAGAGGAGGATGTTGACAAGGAGGGTGTCGTGGCGATGGACAAGGAGGAGGAGGAGGAGAAGGACGACGGAGACGATGAGGAGGACAATGAGATAGAAGAAGAGGAGGAGGTGAAGGACGATGATGCGGAAGAGGAGGAGGAGGAGGAGGAGGAGGAGGAGGAAGACAAGGAGGAAGACGAGGAGGAAGACCAGGAGGAAGACCAGGACGATAAGGATGACGAGGAAGAAGAGGAGGACGAGGAGGAGGAGGATGGGGAAGAGAAAGAAGAAGAGGAGAAGGAGGAGGAGGAGGAGAAGGAGGAGGAGGACGACGACAAGGACAAGGACGAGGAGGTCGACGAGGACTAGGAGGACATCGAGGTAGAAGAAGAAGGGGGGGGGGGAGGAGGAGGAGGAGGTGGAGCACGAAGGGAAGCAAACTCACCTAGCGCGGGCGGGCGATGTCGCGTGGGTTGCGGCTGTTGGGGCTTGGAGTTCCGCAATTGCAACGCCGAACTCCACCAACAGGGCAGGGCGAAGTCGCGCGCAAGAGAGGGCAGCAGCACCTCGGAATTCGAATTTGAAATCGGCCCGATCTGGGCCGTCGATCTCAAAGATCTGACAGCTTAGATCGGGCCATTTTCGTTTTGGATTTTCGAGGCTCTACCGGCCTCGGAAACATTTTCTCTTCAGCCCCCCCGCTTTGCCCCTGCCCACTTCTCACCCTCATGGCGCCCGATTTCCCATGGAAGCACCCCCCCCAATTTCCCCACCGATCAGATACAGGGCTTCGAGCGGACGACCGACCAGTTGTCCGATCGGGCAACCCCTGACGATCAGGGGGGTTCCGGACGTCCGATCGGGTAACGTAGCTTTCTGCATAATATATGTCTTTTTCTTTTTTTTTCTTTTTTTTTCTTTTTTTTTTTCTTTTTTTTTTTCTTTTTTTTCCTTTTTTTTTTGGGTCCGCGTTCGGCCCGAACGACCGAACGCATCCCCAAGGGGTCCTGTACGCTCGGGCGTTCGGGTTTGGGTGTTCATCCCGTTCCGAACGCCGGTCACCCCACCGTATGCTATTTTGTTTACGTAAAGTCTCTCAGGATCCTACACAGACATATATTGGTTTCCTACGGATTGCCCTCTAATTGGATTTAATTACAATTTCTTAACATCAAGAAATTAAATTCATTCTATCTATTCTGCAATGAACCCACTCAAGAGAGAAACTCGTCAATATCACAATACGACATGTATCAGCATAAGTCAATATCTTCAATAATCATAAATGTGATCCAAAGTACAATGTCTCGTAACCAAGGGACGAGGCTGATAGGAGGGAGATAAGACTTAAGGTGGAAGAGAAAGTATTCGTCAATGTCATCGAAGATAGATCTCCCTCATGTCCCACTCCTTCGAGCATCTCCCCTATGTCAATTTCAGCGTACAGTATCCCCGAGACGAGCCTGGCGAGAACCGATCACAACATAGTGCCATGTAGGCACAAATCTCCCAAGAAGATGTCACAACAACGCGCAACGTTGACAACAATAATCACGTAAGCTTCCCTCTCTCTCACAACCAATCTCACAGCCCTGATCTCCCTCCTCGTCGATACCCCAATATGTGTCGAAGACAATGTGGCTAGCTGCACGTCAGCAATCGAGATCCCAGCTCACGCCAATAACAGATAGGCGCCAGCAACGCAACACAACAGTCTCGCGTCGTCGTCACACACAATGCCAGTGTAGTGTCACCGTCCAGCCAACATCCAACCAGCATCCAGCTAGCGTCTTGCCAGCGTCGAGCAGCAAGTGCAAGACTGAATGTCAGTCAACAGGAGCTGGGTCAACTTATAGTTGACTCGAGGTTGACCAGCCCCTGTCGCTCGAGTACGACCGCCCAGATTGACCCACAGGCAATGGCTTGGATCTCTTACAATTGCAGATTCCCACTTGGACTGGATTCTTGGCGAATACCTGCAAACAACCAATGTGTGTGTCTGATCGGTGGACTGAGTTGGGTCTGTATGGACTCTAACTTGTGAGCCTGAATTCTTGAGTTGTTGCTGACGTTTAACATTCCACAATCAATTATCGCACGTAGGGCCTCTAAAGCCCACGTTCAGGCCGTGCGTCAGGTACCCAGCAGCAAACCTCATATCAGGCAATTTTGTAGTTTGGGTGTAACATTAGGCCCCTGTTATGGCCCTTAGACCCAAGTGTCGACGTGTGGCTCAAGACTATTGCTTATTTTACGTTGAGTTATTGCATTTCATCGCGCCAATTTAGAGTTCCATTGCAAAAACTATTACTTTTAGGCACGTTTCTCTTTTAACTCACGCTCATATGCAACACCAATATCGGGAGTAGTAGGTAGGAGTTCTTTCTTACTAAACCATCTGGCTTCAGATAGAGGTTCAAATTTGAACTTTACCTTGTACTCCTTTTGTGGCCTTCCTTTGCCACCTATAGAAAAATATCCATGCTCTAGCATCCTTTCAACTTCATATCCTCCATTCATAAAGGGAGGAAACCTGGATGGCCGGTTAGGAAAATCGCGGCCTTCTAGGGGCGTGAAAGATGGGATACGTCTTGAGGTGTGGGGGTACATCTATTCTGTACGAAGGTCCATCAGTGTCCCCGATCACCTTGAGAACTTCCAAGGGTCCATAATAAATAGGCAATAGTTTTTATGACACGTTCTCTTCTAAGGAAAACTCTTTAGACTTAACCCAAACAAAATCTCCTTTTTGAAATTGTGATGGCCGACGATGTTTGTTGGCCTGTTCAATCATTTGTAGTTTGGGCTTTCTGGATATTTTCATTTACTTCCTTTATGTCTTCCTCATATAGAACTGCCAATTCTCGCGTTCCTGAGGGTAGCCGTTGGACTCGGTCCCGGGTGAAAGCATCAATGGGACGTCACGACTTCCAACCTTTGTGAAGTGCATTCGGTGTTCGGCCGTTAACGGTGTGAACACTGTTGTTATACGCGCAATCTTCCGCAAGTTCTCATCCCAATCAATCTGATCAGGCCGTACATACATTCTCAAAAGTTGTTGGCACAAACCATTCATCTGTTCAATTTGCCCATTGGTTTCAGGGTGCCTCTCTAACAACATGGTTAAACCACCAGTACCTCGCCCAGCTATCAAGTCCGAGGCTCGGATTACCAGTAGCCCGATCGTTCCCGAGCCTCGAACTTTATTGTCGAGCCTCGGACAACCGGTAGTACATCCTCGAAGCTGTCTCTTATACACATCTAGATGTGTATAAGAGACAGGTAGTACAACCTGGAAAAGAAAAAAAAGAAAAAAACACAAAAGAACATACAACATTCCATTCTGCAAAAAAAAAAAGAAAAAAAAAAAGAAAATCGGACATGCCAAACGAGAGTGAATCTTCCTCAATAAAGAGGACGATTCATTCATGTGGGAGGTTGACACACACACACTCACACACACACACACACACACACACACACATACACACAGAGAGAGAGAGAGAGAGAGGTCAGAGAGTCTGACGCTGAGTGCGTCGGACACTGCGCCAACCCACAACTCTCGAAATGTGCAAAATGAGAATGAACTCACCGCTAGAACATGGGCAGATGCGCCCATAAAGAATTGCGCATTTCCCCCCCCCCCTTTTCTTCAATCGATCGTGACGCTCTCTCTCTCTCTCTCAATCAACGTCCATTTGAGAATGAATCTTCCGCATTATCGCGAAAGATTCATTCTCAAATGGGCGTTGAGAGAGAGAGAGAGAGAGAGAGAGAGAGAGAGAGAGAGAGAAGGGGGGGGGGCGTCAGACTCTCTGACGCCGAGTGCAACAGACACGACTCATCCCCCCCCACAACTCTCGAATGTGCAAAATGAGAATGGACTTCCCACTAGAACATGGGCAAATGCAGCCGAAACAAATTGCTCGTTTTTTTTTGCCTGTTTTTCTCTCTCTCTCTCTCTCTCGTTCTCCCCCCCTCTCAACCCCTCGCCGCGCCCGTTTTTTTTTTTCGTTCGTTACTTATCATTCTCGTTGACTTTTTTTTTTTTTTTTTTTTTTTTTTTTTTTTGCCCTGTTTTTTTGGGAATACCGGTCGTTCGCCGGTGGGTACCCCGCCCGACGCGGCGCGTTAACGGCCACGTAGACTTTTTCAAGTTGAGCGAGGTACTAATGGTTTAATCGGGCACCATCAACTTTTTCCATTGTTGGCCAGTGAACTGTACATCCCGACCAGAGATGATGGTTTTTAGAAATCCATAGTCCGAAACCCATCGTATATGGAGCTTCTCGATGACGAGTATCATTTTTGCTTCGGCAGGTAAAGGACCAAACATAGCATACTTAGAGAATTGGTCCACAGTGACTATTACCTGACTATTACCATTCCGACTCACTTGGCTCACTTGGAATAAGTAGTGGTGTTCGCAACAGTCCCAATGGATTCTCATGCGAGGGCTTGCCCCTTTGGCAAACAAGACAGATTTCACTCCTTTCCATTCAAAGTTCTCTCTAACAATGACAAATGTCTTCTTAAACCACCACTACCTTCCCAAGTTGTAGTCCCATTCGAAAAAATGACGTCAATCGCAAAGTTCGGGTGTGACGGACCCGCTGGGATGGCGGTCTGTCAGGATCAAGACAAAGGGATGAGGATGGAGGTGATGGCGATGGAGTTGGAGTTGGAAGGGACAACACAGCTCCAACGAAGATTCAACAAGCACGTACTCCAAAGTGTGCAAATAAAGAATGAATCTAAAACAGGCAGCAGCTGGGGTATACCCCCAACAAACTGACTGGAGGATACCGATGGTGGTACCGGACTGGACTGGATTGAAACAACACATGGCCTGGTCCCACAGGTCGAACAAGCAAAATAGCCAAATAGGCCCTGGATGTAGGTCAGGGCAGATAGAGGCCCGCTGCACGATCCTCAAACCTGTAGTGGATCGCAAGAGCCATAAACACGTTATCCGAGATCCTAACTAATAGCAGAAAATGAAACGTAGCATGGTACAATCCTAAAGTCATTGAGGCAACTGCCTCGGTACTGAAGGGACAAGATAGCAATATGTCACAAGGGAATGTCTTGTCGTCGAACCACTAAGAGTGGGATGGTCTCAGAGGGGGTGAATGCAACCTAAGAATCGAAACTCCTAAGGGCAGTCACACACGAAGGTGGGATAGGTCATCAGGCTCAGGTCGAGGGAGTGGTAGCCAAGCAAAACCAATGACCCTAACAGATAGACCATCAAGGCGGGTAATGCTCGACGGAAGGGTGACACTATGCAGGATCGACCATGAAAGGGGAGCCTAGAATAGGTTGGACATATGCCTACCTGAAGGCATGCAATGACCGACACTAGGGTGATGAGGGATGCAGTGGGTGAGGGAAACATGCACACAAGTCACCCATTGGGGGAGGGAGCTAGATCTGGGAGCAGGGAAGCCAAGCTAACGCTGCGGTCCTAATGCCTATGCGATACCAAGGGAGAGTCCAACTCAGAGAGACCCAACTAAGTGAGAACCATCACGCGGCACATGCAAGGGAATGCACAGGGTAGGGTGGTGGCGTGAAGTAGTCACGTCCAAAGTAGCTGAAGTCCGATAAGGTAGCTGAAGTCGTTGAAGTGGTCGATAGCGTCAATGGAGTAGGAGTCGAGTCGATGTCGAAGAAGAGCCGCAAAATGCTGACATCATGAAGAAGTTGATGATGGAGTACCTGAAGGTGTGAGTCAGTAGGGAGATACTAGGTGATCAAAGTGTCAGTCGTAAAGACGCCAAGGGCGTCAACGAGTGCGCTGTGGATGCGCGGAGGCGTCCGTCTGCTGCTGCCGAACGACCTCAGAGAGAGCGGGCGCGTCCTCAACAATTTCCTCAGCCGGAGGAGGAACAGGGTCAGTCGGCTGAGTAGGAGAAAATGTCTCAGCACGACGAGCACGATCATATGCACGCACCAACATCCTTGCGTGCTCCAAGTGCTCGAGGGGCTCCCAAGTAGTCTCCTCATCCGGATAGCCCTTCCAACGCACAAGGTACTCGATGCGAGGAGGGGTATCGTCAATAACTCAGCGAGCTACGATGTCGAAAACGACAAATTCCTCGTGACCATCTACCATAATAGGCAGAGGGCGCTCATAAGGATGTCCGACGAAGCGCTCAGATGGTTTGCGATAAGGACGCAACAAGGAGACATGGTAAACATCGTGTAAACGAGCCTGTCGAAGGTAATCAGGTAGCTTCATACGGAAGCTGACCGGACTAGCGGCAATATCAGAACTGACGGCCTGAAGGATGCGGCATGGACCGAAGAAGCAACACCTGAACTTGCGAAGTGTATCCGCTAAGCTGCAAGTGGCGTGCATAGACGAGCAAACCATCACCGACTTTGAATGAATGATCCATTCATGATCGGTCCCGTTCAGCCATGCGAGTCTGGGAGTCGGCTAGACTCTCGTGTGCGCAAGCCATAATCACTGCCATGTAGGCGATCCAATCGTCAAGTGTTGGACAATGAGTGTCTGGGCGCAACCGCGACAGTCGTAGAAAGTCCGCGGGTACGCGAGGGTGGTAGCCGAAGTCGGAATAGAATGACAACATCCACGTGGTTGGCGAAACGACGTGGTTGTACGCAATCTCCACGTGGGCGAAGTGTAAGTCCCACTGCTGGTCTCCCCTAATAAACTTTCGGAGGATATTGCCCACAGTTTTGTTGGTGACCTCAGTCTGACCATACGTCTAAGGGTGGTAAGACGATGAGAAGTGGAGCTAGGATCCGTACACCTCGTGTAAGCATCGCTAGAATGTGCTGGTAAAATGCGGGTCACAGTCGGAGATGATGCTCTGAGGTAAGCCGTGATCTCTCACGACTCGGTCAAAGACGATGTCGGCGACCTCACGAGCGCCAATGCGATAGCAGCACGGGACAACGTGCACACTTCGTGAAGCGATCGACGAGGATCAAGATAGCATAACAACGTGCACACTTCGTGAAGCGATCGACGAGGACCAAGATAGCATCATGACCACACTCGGTGGGTGGAAGAAGGGGACCAACGAAATCCATCGACATGGACTGCCAGTGACCCTGAGGTACGAGTAGGGGTTGAAGTAACCCGTACGGAAGGTGGTTGGCACTATTCATCTCCTGGCAGGTAGGACACTCCTGAATGTAGGCTTTGACGAAGTCCTTGGACTTCGGCCGGACGTATAGGCGGCATACACGAGCCAACGTCTTGTGAAAGCCCATATGACCGGCAACTGCCTGGTCATGGAACTCTGCTACGGCCTGGACGCGGAGCTGTCCGGTGGAGGGAACACAGATACGTGGTTCTAACTGACCAGATCTCCCATGCCAGTCGACGAGACCGTTCTCACTGGAGGGAGTATGAAGGAACGATCTTGCCACTCCGCAGTGTCGCATGGATGACGCGATAATCCATGCAGTAACGGTACTGAGTGCGATATGCATCGATCACTGACTGATCATGGAAATGGCAGCAAGATGGATGGGTTCCTAATTGTGATCAGGACGGTGAGACAAGGCATCGGCGACGCGGTTCGTTTCACCCTTAATGGCTGAGTGGTGAAATTGGACTCGGATAAGTCACGCCACCAACGTACTTGTCGAGGGGAAAGCTTGAACTTCGTGAGGAAAGCCTAGACAACCGAGTTGTCCGTGCGCACCGTGAAGGGTGCCCCGTGCAGATAATGACGCCAATGCCGGGTGACATCAACTACTGCGAGAACCTCACGTTCATCGACAATGTAGTTTATCTCGACAGGCAGTAGCTGACGGGAGTAGAAAGCAATCGGGCAATCCCCAGCACGAGCCTCGACAGTCCCATGCTCCGCGATGGTCGGGGAGTAAGTAACGGGAGGACTATCAGTGGAGGGAAGTGGTGGGAGGAAAGGCGTCAGTCGAGAAGCAGAATCAACAGGAGGGGAGGGGGGGGAAAGGAGGAACATGGGGATAAGGTGAATTAGGAGGAGAGGGAAACACATCCAACTCCTACTGCAAAATCTGACGCATCCGTGGTGACGATGAGGGGACGGTCAAAATCGGGGAGGCGAAGAACTGGCGCACAAGTCACCGCCTTCTTGAGGGTACGAAAGACATCCTCGCAGAGGGGTGTCCAAAACCATGGCGGTTTCTTTCGGAGGAGGGTGGAGGTAAGGACGTAAGAATACCTAGCGTATCCCTGGATGAAATTACTATAATATAATAACTAGCAAGGCCTAGGAAACTGTGAAGCTGCTTGACGGATGTGGGGACGGGCCACTCCACAATATCAGTGATCTTCTCGTCGTCCATGCGGAGACCCTGGTCAGACACATGGTGTCCTAGGAAGTCCACTTTGCACTGGGCAAAGCGGCACTTACTAAGCTTGGCATAGAAGTCATGCTCGCGGAGGTGTCTGAGATGGTCTTCCAAGGTACGACTGTAGACCAAGATGTCGTCCAGGTATACGAGAACATATTCTTCAAGGATGTCCCTGAAGATATCGTTCATCACCATCTGGAAGGTGGCGGGTACATTGGTGAGGCTGAATGGCATCACCGTGAACTCGTAGTCGTCAAAGCACGACCGAAAGGCAGTCTTCGGTTGGTCCTCTGTGACAACGCGGATCTGGTGGTAACCGCTACAAAAATCGAACTTTGTGAAAAAGCGATTGCCTGCCAGACGGTCAAGCAACTCATCCGCGCGAGACATGCGCTAGTTGTTCTTAACCGTGGAACGGTTAAGGCTGTGGTAGTCAATGCAGAGGCGAAGAGTTTCATTCGCTTTGCGAGCAAAGAGGATAGGTGCACCCCAAGGGGAGTTACTGGTTTAATGAAACCCGGTTGAAGGAGTTCCTCAAGCTGATGCTCGAGTTCCCTCGCCTCTGGAATCGAGAGTCAGTAGGATGCCTGATGGTGGACACGATAGTCAAGCACGAGTTGGATAGAATGCTCAACACCGCGCATCGGAGGGATCCCCCTGTATGAGAAATACGGGGGGAAAACGTCGCGGTACTCTCAAATCAAATCGCGAATGACGGGCTCTAAGTCGTCCATGAACCGTGTGAGTTCCTCAACGTCTTCGTCAGCGCGAGACGTATGGGTGGACTCGATAGTGAACGGTGTAGGGACCTGGGATGTCGAGGGGGTATCCGCAGGCGGGGGGGTGGATGTAGAGATTGGAGCTGTGAAGATGGAGGAAGGGTCAGGGGGATCAGGCTCCAATGAGATGAGCTCAACCTTAGGATAGAGTGGATCATAGCGAAGAAGATCCATGACATTCACTAAGTAGAACGTGACGTCGTCCTGCCATATGAAGTGAGCAAAATGACAAGGAGAAGTGACGACAATGTCTGGGTGGGACCCACAGGAACGAGGGTCCTACGGAGGTAGGTCGGGAGGGGTGTCGCCCGTGGTTCCAGTGAAGGGGACTCGACGGGTCAGACCACACTTCGTTTCAAGAACGAGTGTCCCGGTCGCCCATTCAGCCTCTGTGCCACAGAACTAGCCAGACCAGGGAGTACCAAGGATAAAGCCGTACCTAGTCTCCAGCACGTCGAAGTATGCGGAGGAACGGTAGCGCCAAGGCGCCTGGGTACTATCCGGTGGCTGGAGTGTGAGGGAAAAGTAAAGGTCGGGGACCGTCTGATCGAAGAAGCGTTGCATCTTGTTATCTCCGAGCCTTACGGAGATAGGAGAGCGAGACCCGGAGGTAGCTAGACGAGCTTTCTCAAGCACGCAAGGGTGAACGAAATCTCCCTGCGAGCCGGAGTTCCAAAAAGCGCGCTACACCCTCATAGATGTCCCCATGCGGATAGGAATGATGGGGAGGGTGTGATCGGGGTCAGAGAGCAGAGTGAGAAGATGATGCATAACGTTTACGTGTCTCATGAGTCGCTCCTGACGAGCCTGAACAATGCTAAAGTCCAGGAGAGATGACACAACGTCATCGCGAGTCGCCAATTGAGTGCTACAACGAGTTGTGCGAATGGCGCGACGCGTCGGAAGTCTCGGAGGAGAAGGACTACATGCGGCGGTCTGTGGTGGGGTATACGGTACCTCGACAGATGGTGGGGTAGAGGTAACTGCGTCTGTCGTGTCCTGAGGTTCCTTTGGTGGGGTAGCCAAAGGGGCAAACCGCGACTCGGTCCTCGGGAAGCCGGATACGTACGAGGCCTCAGCGGTACACTGCACTGTGGCTAGCTGGATGGGACTTAGCTGGGCGGGGCCAGGGGGGGACTGAGATCGGCGCTGATGAGAAATATCAGCGTAGTGCCGATCAAGGGCGGCATGGTATGGACACCGTGAGGAGGTGTCCCTCTTGGCGGCAACGAAGGCAACCGCAACGGGCCTCGATGGTGGCACGCTCCTCAGGGGATAGAGCTCCGTGAGGAGGGACGAAACCCTGCGGGAGGTCTATCTGAGGGACAACGAACGTGCGGGTGCCAGCATGAGCAACCCGACTGCGCGCACGACCCATGGCGGACATCGCCATCTGCAAGCAGTCAGCCATCGGGACAGTCTCATTATCCAAGTGATACTGGATGACATCCCGAAGCTCGATGTCCTAGGGGGCCTCCTCCAGGGTAGGGTCAAGCTCCGTCGGGGTGTCGTCGCCGTACTCGACCGCATTGTAGAGCTGAGAGGAGGGAGCTCCGATCTGAGCGGGGCGGTGGAAACGACCAACAAAAGAGGAACGGCCTCGGGTGGTACCGTGAGACTGGGAGGTAGCGGCTGGCTGTAAAGAAGATGCGGCAACGGAGAAACGATTGCACATCCTCTGGTACTAACGCGCAGCCTCGTATGCCTGCTCCACGGAAGAGAATGACTGGCTCCATAACTCCAAGCGGTAGTCAGGCGGAAGACTGACGAGGAACCCGTCGGTGAGGGTGACCGCCGGTAGGAACGTCTCATCACAAACAAGGCGGGCGTCTTGAAACACCTGAATGTGACGCTCGAGGTCAGCAGAAGCAGAGGACCCGAACCATCGGGTCTGTGTGACACGGTCTAAAGCATCAGTGGCGTTGTGACGAGCGCCAAAGTGGTCCTCAAGGAAGGCTGCAAAGTCTGCAAGAGTGGGGACCTCACCCACGTGGAGGCGCTGGGTATAATGGTCCTCCCATGCAGTGGAAGGGCTGCCTCGCAATTTGGTTGCGAGCACATCACACCACAACTCCTAACGGGTGGTCGTTAGAGAGAGTGTGCGTGTTGCTATTTGCAACCAGCGAGAGACGCGGGATGTGACATCATACTTGGGAATGTCCGAGGTGCTCACAGGAGGGTGTCCGTTGTGCTGATGGCGGGGGGAGAGAGACCGAGGCGCCTACAATGTCGCAGCGAAAGTCGGGTTCGAGGCAGGGGCATAGGTGGGGGAAGGTTGTGGGCCGTGGCCATTGGTAGATGGACCAGCAGACGTGGAGGCAACAGTCGTGGGCAGATGTCCCGGATTGGCTAGGTAGGAGGGGAGAGGATGAGGAGCAGGTAGAGGAAAATGAGCCTGCATGATGGGGGCCGAAGGGGTGGTGAAGGAAGAAGAAGGGTGAGCAGCCTGTGAAGGGTGAGGTTGTCTCAGGGCCAGGATCTCCGCCTGAGCCTGCGTGATGGTGGCCTGCAAAGTGACCACTCGCTGAGTGTGCGGGGTCGGGGGTGGAGGAGGCGGAGGGGGTATCCCAATGGGAGGACGATTCCCAAATTGTTGGGTGCCCTGCTGTGGGGGTAAGCGGAGAAGTGGGCGGAACCGTAATGTCGCGACTGGTGCGAAAAGCTGGGAAGCAGCACCGGAATGGGTCGATAAAACTGTCAGGCCAGATGGTGGTATTGGGACCGCAGTACCTACGGCAACAGCAGAGACGGCAGGGGCGGTAGAGACTGAGAGAGGTGTCACAACATACGGGGTTGGTTGAGCGGCAGCAACACTCGCCACTGTTGGGGGGGAGTCCTGGTCCTGAGCCGCAGGAGTGGAAAAAACACCACGGCGGTGTGGCTGGAGTTGTGGAGACCCGGCCGGTGAGCCGGTGGGGAATGGAGTATGAAAATGAAGGGTGTTGCGATGGAGAGAGCCCTTTAGGCGGTGGACGTCAAGGGCAAGCGCATTGATTTGCTCTTGCGGCGGTCCAAGCAAGCTGGGAAGCAGCACCGGAATGGGTCGATAAAACTATCGGGCCAGATGGTGGTATTGGGACCGCAGTACCTACGACAACAGCACAGACGGTAGGGGCGGTAGAGACTGAGAGAGATGTCACAACAGACAGGGTTGGTTGAGCGGCAGCAACACTCACCACTACTAGGGGGGAGTCCTGGTCCTGAGCCGCAAGAGTGGAAGAACCACCACGGCGGTGTCACTGGAGTTGTGGAGACCCGGCCGGTGAGCCGGTGGGGAATAGAGTATGAGAATGAAGGGTGGTGCAATGGAGAGAGCCCTTGAGGCGGTGGACGTCAAGGGCAAGCGCATTGATTTGCTCTTGCAGCGGTCCAAGCATGCTGACTTGCGATTGGATGACCACAAGGACGGCGTGGATGTCCATGGTGTCCGCTTGGGCCTGACCCTGAGCCACCGACTGAACGCTCACCTGGGAGGTAGACGGCGGCGCGACGATCTCCCCAGATGCACTCCCGTCCATATGCGGTGGAAGGATGGGAATAAACGTGGTGAGAGGTGGAAAAGGAGGTGGCGAAGAGATGGGTTGTGGCGTGGGGAAAGGGGACCACCGGTGAGAGGGAGGGGACCGCGGGAGCGGAGGGGGTAGGCGTGAGTCGGCTCGCCCCGTGACCAGCGGGTCCAACGTGAAATGGTGGCACGAATCCGGTTGAGGGGGGAGGAGCCGTTCGGGTCCAGGGTGCCCGACGGAGGGAGGCGGGAAAGGAGAGGGGTTAAAAGAACCCTTACCCTAGAAAAACAATAAGAAAACCCTAACCTGAGTTTGGATGGTTAGGGTAGGGTAGTGACGGCCTAATCAACAAAAGAAGATAGCAACCATGAAGGGAAGAGGAAAAGAAAAAATAAATAAACAGTGAAATTTCGAGATAAAAAAAATAATAATAATAATAAAAATAATTAAAAAATAAGTAAACAAAATATGAAGAGATAAATAATATTCGCTTTTTGGAATTTTCGGTAGCATTTCGCTATCCCCCATGGGGTAAAAAATGTGCCAAGACGAAGGAGATACGAAGAGAAGTACACTATGTTTTATAATGCTGCAAATAAAAATTTTCAGAAAAATAAATAATGAAATAAAAAATTAGGAGGTGGAGGAAAAAGAATAGAAAACCAGGTGGAGGAAAGTGAATAGAAAACCAAGTTTTGAATTTTTCAAAAATTTCCACAACATTCCGTTACCCTCATGGGGTCAAAGTGTGGCGTCAAGAAGAATTACTAAGTAAAATGGAAAAATTTGCGAGCACTTCACTACCTCCAAGGGGTCAAAATATGCTGGAAAAAGACCAAGTAGGAAAAACAAAAATTTTGGCAGCACTTCGTTACCCCGAATGGGTCAAAATGTGCACCGAAAGCACGAATGACTAAGTCCTAACAAGATATAGAGATGCCACAAAAAAATTCAAATTTTTAGAATAAATGTAAATAAAAATAAAATAAACAAGAAAACGAGAAAAGAGGTAGGGATTTAGATAATTCAATTTTTTGAAGAAAACGAAAAAAAATTTAAATCAAAGAGAAAGATAAAAAAAGAAAAACAGAAAAAATCGAATTTGGGGGGGTAGTGGGAATAAAAAAGTAATGAAAAAAAATAGAAATAGGTGAGAAAAAGAAAAGATTGAAGTGGTAGGTGAGGGAAATGATGGGGTTGTAGTTGGGGGAAGAAAGAAGGAGAGGAGGGTGTAAAAGGGCCTTTACGAGTTAGACCCCAGATAATACCCGAACAACGAGGGGCCCTGTCGACCAAAACTTAAATTCACGAGTTGCAATAAAAAAGACAAAGTTCTTGAGGCAAATGTCGCATCCATAATGAAATGAAAAGTCGTTTTGAACAGTCACAAACAGGTCCTGCACGAACAGGTATTGGACACAGTTTCTAGACTGAGTAAGGGTCATGTCTCCTCGATGGAAGGTCATGTCTGTTCGGCAATGAGTCAAAGGCCACAGTCCCAGTTCACTCATAATCCCACGAGTCAGTCCTGATTCAGACCGGGAGTCCAAAAGACAGGCCCGATGGGCCAAAGCAGCAGCAGACCATGGGAAAAGATACTGGGACACACACTTTGGAACAACCGGTACTAGGCAGGAGTCTCCGACACTTGAGGCTGAGTGCAGGCCACGCCAAGTTAGTCCAACACTACAAAGGACTGGCCAGCCTCCCATTTGGACAGATGCTCACTTGGCATGAGAGTGTGGAAGTGTCGTGGCACTTGTGCACTCAATATGCTTGAGCTGCGCTAGGCTGAGAGCAACGCTACGTGTGAAAGAAGGAAGAAGAGCGCTGGTTGGAGGGAGGGCAGCCATAGTTGCGCCTGTGCTAGTTAGTGCATTAGTAGGGATAGTAGTGGAAGATACCAGTGAGTAATATTCAAAGCAGTGGAAGATACCAGTGAGTAGTAGTCAAAGCAGATCCTCGTGTAATAGGGAGTGCGCATGCATGATGAGTGAGAGTAGACCACGGCTATAGACATAGAGGGGGAGAGAGAAGAACGCAGACAAGAGAGAGGAAGGTGAGAGCTATGGTGACACATACCTGTTGAGAGTTGTTGACGTTAGGTAGCCTGCGCTAAAGAGAGAGCCAGGCTTGGAACTCGTGATTGATTGAAGAGTACTTGAACTTTGTTCGGTGCTATACATATTTAGACTCACGATTTTCTCTCTCAATCTGGTTTGATAAATTGAGTTGAGCTTCCTGGTTCTCATTCATCTTCTATTGGGCTCTGTGTGAGACATTGCGTGAAATCTGCGTTTATGCATGTGAATTGAAGCACTCCAGCAAGTGATGAGCAGTCGGGTTCCTTGCAGGTGAGAGAACGAGGGAGAAAACTATGGAAAAGGTGAAGAAAAGAGTGAGAGGTTTGGAGAGAGAGGAAATAAAAAAATGGTGGAAGATGAGTGAAGAGGGAGGGGCATGAGAGAATAATGGGAAGGAGAGAAGAGAAGTAGGGAAAAGAAGAAAGGAAAGAGAGGTTGGGAGAGGAGAGAGTAAAAAATATGGTAGTGCATGGAGAAAGAGGGAAGGAGATAAGAGATTAGTGAGGAGAAGAGGAGAGAAGAGTGAGAAAAGCGGATGGATGAGTGGTGGGGAGAGAAAAAGGAAGGTCAGATGATGAAGGGGGGGGAGGGAAAAAGGAGGGGTAGAATGGATTACTGATGAGAGAGGTGATACCGAGCTCTTGGGTGACCAAGAGAAGAAACTTTCACCAAGACCCACAAGATTTTGGCCTTCACAAACCCCTTGAGAGAAGGGTCTTCATGTTGGTGATAAACTGCTGCTGCAACGGTTTGATCTGATCAGAAGGATCAGATATGCTAATGAAGAAACACTGTCTGGGGCTGGCTGAGATCTTGATCAGCCACCCAGTTCCACTGTAGTGCAGCCCCCTAGCTAGGGGGGTCTTCAAGAATCCTCAACAAGCTGCCACGTGGCACTTTTGGAGATGGTCACGGGCCAAGAGAGGAGAGGTAGAGTGCAAACACTCTTTTGCGAATAACTTTTCACCCACTGCGTGAAATTTGGCAAAAGAGGACTTGTTGGAAATTTTTTTGAAAGTCGCTCGCAGTATCAGCCACTGCCTGCAGTAATAGCGCTCGTTGATAAAACGAGCACGGGTGGTTTTGGGAGCTTCAAAAAACGAACCGCGATCTTTGAAATACCGTAGTTGTTCAACCACCGCACAAAATTAAGCCGTCTACAGCTTGTTGGAAGCGGCTCTTCGAGAGCTTTCCAACAAGCTAAAAAAATAATAAATTTGGTCCACCGATGCAAGAGTGACGGTCGAAAGAGTGCACCGGTGTCATTACCAAAGAAAAGTGGCGAGTTCTTTTTTTTTTTTTTTTGCTAAAGCCGCATGACAACTGATAGGTAAGGTGGTGGGTGGGGGAGGGGAGCAGGGAGGAAAGCCCGCTCTGATACCAGTGTGACGGACCCGTCGGGATGGTGGTCTGCCAGAATCAAGATGAAGGGATGAGATGGAGATGGAGCTGGAAGGGACAGCGCAACTCCAACGCAGACTCAACACGCACGTACTCCAAAGTGTGCAAATGAAGAATGAATCTGAAACAGACTGCAGCTGGGGTATACCCCCAACAAACTGAGTGAACTGGTACCGACGGTGGTACCGGACTGACTGGACTGGACTGGACTGAAATAACACACGGCCTGGTCCCACAGGCCGAACAATAAAATAGCCGAATAGGCCCTAACTGTAGGTCAGGGCAGATAGAGGCCCGCTGCATCTGGGGTCAGGGCGAGGGTTGGCAAAAACAAAACATTTGGGCCTTGTCAGCTTGCTCGAAGGAAAAAAAAAAAAAAAAAAAAAAAAAAAAAAAACAAAGTTGAAAGGAAGGACGTTGGGGAAAGCCACGAAGGATGTGTGCTCACAACAGTTGCTCACGAGGCAGGGTGTTTTCCACGGATAGTCTCATTTTTTGTTTTTTGTGTTTTTTATTCTTTACTTCTAAATTAGTTTTAGTGCCCTGCCCACGAGGCAGGGTGTTTTCCACGGATAACTGACAATCGCAACCAACAGGGCACTCGAACATGTACTCAAGATTTCGCATCTCGTTGCTTTTACATTCAAAGAGTCGTTGTTGTCTTTGTTTTTTTTCCTTCTTCATACAACCGTGTGTGCAGACGGCTATAACGCCCGTTGGTAAGGTATATTTTCCTTTGTGCCCAATGTTCTATATCCAACTGCTTTCACGTCCAAAGAGTTGTTGCAATTTTTTCCTTTTTTTTTTGCTTTTCCTATTTTCGTGTTTTGCTGAGGGAAAAAAACGCACTTTGGCAGACTCTCACGTGTACCCAATGTTCTGTATACGTCTTTTCTTTTCTTTTTTTTTTTTGTTTTTTTTGTTGTTTTTTTTTTCCCGACGGGTACGACAAAAAAAAATACAATGGGACCCAGACTCGACAAAACTCGGTGCGCAGTGAAATTAAGGGTCGGCAAAAACAGGCTCGAAGGTAGTGGTGGTTTAAACCCGAAGTGTCCTACAGCGTCATGACATTCCCCAATAATCATACTTTTAATTTCTTCTTTGTGAGGAATGCACATTTTGTCTTCGGTTTCATCCATAAAGAAGAATAAGTCGTCAGTCATATGATATTCACGCAAGAGTTCATGACTTTTCTGTAGGGTTTGGATAATAGGACTCCATATAGGATCCTTGACATACCCTTGTCGGATCTGATCCGTCAACTTTAACCAGATGTTAAGGTAAAAAACAATTGCACCAAAGAAATCAGAGCGTCTGGACAAAGCATCAAGAACAACATTAGATTTTCCTTCAATGTTTTCATATCAAAATCAAATGTGTTGATGAGTGCAGACCATCTCACTAACTTGTCGAAGAGTCGTGGTCGAGCCTTAATCCACTTCAGGGTTGAATGGTCAGAATAAACTGTGAAGTGTCGTCCAAGCAATGCATACAATTCCCTTTCGTAGGTTGAGTTAGCTACCTCATCAGACGGAAGGCGTTTAGACATAAACTCAATAGATATATACGCCTTCCCATCATCCTGTTGTAGCACAACCCCAATCGCAAACTGACTAGCATCAGTTATCACAATGAAAGGGAGTGACGAATCAACAATCTTCAAAATAGGGTAGTGAGTTAACACGTGCTTCGACTTCATGAACGTAGACTCACAATCTTTATCTCATAACCAAGGATTCTCTTTCTTAAACAATCTTCTTATGGGAGCAACTATAAGGGAGAAGTTTCTCACAAACTTTATATAATAGCTTAGCAAATCCTAAGAAGTATCGTAGTTTAGTAACCGTATTGGGTCTGGGTCAATCTCTAATTGCTGTAATTTTCCTTTCTTCTAGCCTTAGTTATTCTTTATTTACTATATGCCCAATATATAACACCTTAGACTTAGAAAATTCTAACTTCTTAGGGTTTAACTTTAGTTTTTTTCTCTTAACTTCCCTAGAACCATTCGTAAGTATTTTTCATGGTCTTCCACTTCTTGCTATAGACGAGGATCTCGTCGAGATACACAACTACGATTTTTATAGCCACCGCCTAAACAATTCATTCGTTGACCTTTGAAACATCGCTTATTCAGTCTGAAAGGCATAAACACAAACTCATAGTGTCCACACCTGGTTCGGAAAGCAGTCCTATGCTGATCCTCAGGTACTCTACCTCTATATGGTGGTAGCCTGACTTCATATCGATCTTGCTAAAGTACTTACACCCCTGCAACTGTTCCACATTCTTGACAGTAACGAAATTCAATCCTCGATAATCGATGCGCAACATGAGTTCTCCTTCCTTTTTTGACACAAATCAGACATGTGCACAATAGGAAGAGGAACTTTGTCAAATCCATCCTCGTTCAGTTAATTCTTGCAGTTGTTTCTTTAGTTTTTCCAATTCCCTTGGTGACATACCAAGAATAATTTTAATCAAGTGCTTGATATCACGATCAGTTACTCCCGTTGGCTCAAACTGTAAGTCCTTAAATTCAGTGAGTAGTTTTTCAATAGAAGATGTGCGACGATAAACATTCACCTACTCGTTTGACGAGTACCACCAACACGCCCTGATCCAACTTCTTTTCCGCGACCATACTCCTGAAAGCAGGTAGACTCATACATAAAAAAAAGAATGACAATGACGAGTCAAAACGAGATTTGTGAAACAATTTATTGGTCCCATTTTGGATTTTTCATCTTTTAACTTAACAATCTTATATTTGAACTTGATATCTAGGTCGGCTTCCTCGTGCCAATCCATTCCCTGAATCATGTCAAAGGGTAGTTTTTTTTCAACAAGGAAGGTAACTTCATGCAAAATTATTTTCCCTTCCTTAGTCCTGAAAAACATTTCACACAATTGACGAATTGTGAGACAATAATCATGCTTTTGTCCGCAAGCATAGACGTGATAAGTCTAGGCCGGTCCTGCACTCTCATTCCCCGATTCAACTTTCTTATTGCCTTTTCTGAGATGTCACTATTGGTTAACGGGGACCCCCACTTTTCGGCCCTGGGTAACCATGAATGATCCTGAAATCAGGGCTTCGGGGTCAATTTTTGTGTTTTTTTGGATTTTTGTTTTTGGACAAGCTTGCTGTGTGTCAAATTTGGTGTCATTTGGAGTACTAGAATTTGTGTTGTTAAGAGTGGTGAAAATCCTAAAAATCTGATGACTTTTTTTTTGGCAAAATTGCCCGAAAATGCATTTTTGGCTTGCTGTTTTATATGTTTTTCATTATTTTTTTAAAGTTTTTTTTTCATAATATGTTATTAAGAAGTGCACTCTATACATTGGTATGAAGTTTGCGTGAAATGGCCTTAACGGGGACCCCCACTTTTCGGCCCTGGGTAACCATGAATGATCTTGAAATTAGGGTTTCGGGGTCAAATTTTGTGTTTTTTTGGATTTTTGTTTTTTGCCTGTTTTTGTTTTTGGACAAGCTTGCTGTGTGTCAAATTTGGTATCATTTGGAGTATTAGAATTTGTGCTGTTAAGAATGTTGAAAATCCTGAAAATCTGATGAATTTTTTTTGGCAAAATTGCCTGAAAATGCACTTTTGGCTTGCTGTTTTATATGTTTTTCATTATTTTTTATTTTTTATTTTTTATAATATGTTAGTAAGAAGTGCACTCTATACATTGGTATGAAGTTTGCGTGAAATGGCCTTATGGTTTTCGTATAAATTGTGCTGAAAAATGAGGGGTCGGTTAACCATCTCTCGAAGATGTAGGATCGCTTCAAACCATGATCTAACAATGCACCTACAGGTGTACGTGCAACCTCAACGTCAGTAATTATCAACTCACGCTTAGACTTTTTCTTAGCCCATGAACTTCTTAATGCAATCAATTTTGTACCAAGTTCATCAAGGGATCCACCTAGAGAGACAAAACACAAGACAATTTTAGGGTGTTCTAGGTGACGGGCCGAAGAAGAGCCATCCTCTGCCATGCGAGTCGGATGGTTGAAAGGGGTTTCAAGCGCCTTACTTTTGTCTGAACCTTCCAACTCAGTAGGAGCAGACACTACTTTTACTGGCTGCTCCCTTTTGGGTTCCGGATGAGGGGGCACCATGCGATAATGTGCCCTACAGTGCCACACTTCAAGCATTGTCGATTACTCATCCGTTCCTGCCACTCGTTTTGCGTCAGGGCCATCTTCTCCCATGACCTCCCAACCGCTATGCCGGGATGCTCCGAGAAGGAGCGTGATCTCCTCTTCTTAAAACCATTATTTTTGTTGGTGCCACCCTTGTTGGCCACCATGGCAGCGACGTCACCCTTCCTGGACTCACTGCCACCACTTGCTACACCCTCGACCTCGTCGATGGGCCACTTTTCAACTGTGTCGTCATCCAAGACGACGAGGGTGTGATTCTCCCGCTTATGCCTCCGCAGAATCATCTTTCCATTTTCGTACCCGCCTACCGGTCCACTTTTGACCACACTTGCATTGTGCAATCATTTGCTCCCTCTGGAGCGCGAGGTCGCAAAATTGCCGATAGTTATACTTACCAGACTTGGATTCTACCACGAGCAGTCTGCGAATAAGCTATGGCAATGCGCGCGAGTAGATGTAGAGAACCTGGTTATACTACAAGTTTAATCTAGGTACGTGCAACAAACGATCAACTTCAGGTGACAGTGCATCGACAGTGGTCCAATGCATTTGGCTTATGGTGGTGAGTTCATCGAACGCCTTGTCGGCATATGTCTTGTCGAGGAATCTCTTCTTAATCTTTTGGAGGAATTCCCGCAGTGTCATCGTTTTGGACCGCTCACCAATATCTTTGAAGCCAGTGGCATTGGCCTCAGACATGATCCACTCCTTCACAACTTCACCCAAACATGAAGTCGAGAACGCGACTTAACTCTCTGCCTCGACAGGAGCGGTACCACAATAGGTCTGGATTTCGGCAATCTAGAGAAGAAGGTGCTCACCTCTTTAGTCGTTGTAGGTGAACGATAATTTCATCTTCACCTTCTCTCTTCGCTTCGGCTTCTCACTTTCTTCTTTCTTTTCACCATTCTTCGCCGATTCTTCTTTCTTTGTCGGTTCTTTGGCGGGCTCGTTTTTTTTTTTAGTGTTTTTTTGTTCGGCGTCTTCATGGCATCTTTCATTAATTTTCCCTGTGTTTTTTTTTTTCTCCCTTCTTGGTCACCTACTCATGCACCACCTTGTCCTTTCCATGAACCAATCTCGTCACCGACTGCAATTCGGCGGTGACGTTGTCAATTTTTATTTCCAGGTGGGCGAGGTAAGCCATCATATTCTGCAGGATTGACACCAAGTCAGTTTCTGAACCTTCTACATGAAATTTTTGTCCAATTTGTTCTACCTTCTTTGCCTTCTCTTCTCTTCCCCACTTCTCTTTCTGATAGGCTTCTTTCTTTCTCATTTCTGCTTCTAACACAGCTTGGAACTGCTGGATAGTGTCATCCATTATTTCCTATGTTAGTTCTTCTTTGTTTCCCAATGATTCTGCCTTTCCCCCTTCTTTGGCCTATTCTTCTTTGCTCATACCCGCATATTGCTCAGCGACATAATGACTGAGGGCCATCCGTCCTCGATCAATGACCTGCTGCACTCTCCCACTAACCTCCAACATCTGAACGGCTGTTTCAGTTGTGGTCAGTTCGTTTTCTGTTGCTTGCAGATCGAACTGGCTGCGTACATGCCGTTCAGCCTAAGGGCCAGCTGCGTGCATTTCTTGGAGCAATATGTCGAAACGGGTCAGCATCTGCTGCCATCTTTCCTCGACTTGGCCACGGGTTCTCAGCACTACCTCTTCTTCATCAACGAAGAGTAATGGAGATGGTGTAGAAAAAGTGAGGGATAAAACGGGTCAGAATGGACGCATGCAAACAGTTTCACACAAAAGTCATCCTAACGAGTATGTCGCACAATAAACTCAAAGAGACAATAGTGAATTCCACAGCCTGACTTCAGTTTCGTTTTTCCATGAGAAACAGAAATTACAATAATTAAAGGTTCAGAATACTTTAATTCTATCTATTTGTAATTGTGTTGTTTGTCTATGTGATGGCATTTCGACATGACATTGTACAGATACCGCAGCCACGCCTAGTGTGATCAAGATAACAACACAAGTGGTGAGTTAGCAAGCATCCACAGAACAGCCCACGGCAGGTGATTCAGCCAATCACAACACAAGAGCAATCAAAGTGTCAGCTGCTCATCCTCTTGCTGACTCGCTGCAGATGCTTGTGTATCCACGCACAAGGACTGATGCGTGGCACTATGGCATAACCCAATGCCGTGCCGCCCGTCAGCACACACAAGTGCAAGTATCGATTCCCACCAATCTTCACGAAAAATGGCAGAGCAAGTCTTCCCTGCCATGTGTTACATTCCACTCTAGCCAACACAGCATATCCATGGAGTATGCCACGTCAGCAACAATGGCCAGTAGGACGGAAGTCACGATAGCCACGTCAGCAGCGTACAACTGCCAAGTCCGTTTGTCACTGGTATGCCACGTCAGGTTGAAGAAGATACGTGCCACGTCATGAGGTGAGTCACGCCACAGGTAGGTGCCACGTCAGACAATACCCTGCTCTTCCTCTGGATGCCACGTCAGCACCCACATGCCAGGCCACGTAGACAGCACTTCCGATGCCACGTCAACAGTTCTCTCTCTCTCTCTCTCTCTCTCTCTCTCTCTCTCTGGTCGATCGCCGGCGCCACGTCAGCGCCTCTGCCAATGGTACTCTCGCTGGTCGCCGATCGCCACCTCAGCAACAATTCACCACGTCAGCAATGTCGCCGGTCCTTATCATCATCCAATCTCTAGGTAAGTGTGCACGCGCATCGTTACGTCAATGTCCATAACCGCGTGCGTTTATAAACATGAATCGATCGATGCGTGGCCACTTGCCTTACTTACCATAGCGTGTCACAGCGCGCAACAACAGATCGCGACGAAGGAGGTCATGCTCTGATACCAAACTGAACCCAATCAGAAGATAAACTCGTCAATGTCAAAATACAAGATGTCTCAGCGCAAGTCAATGTCTCCAATAATCATGAATGTGATCCGAAGCAGGGCTAAGCCGGCAACCGGCCGGTCGGACCGGCCCGGTCCCAACCGGAATTCCGGTTGGGCCCAAAAATGGGTCAAATTTTTTTATTATTTTTTTTTGAAATCATGGTTGGACTGCGCTCGCCGAGATCTCCCCGAATCCGCAAAGAAAACTTTGATCAGAGAACTTTTTTTTCCGGGGGGGGG